CTCACACATACTGCTGCATTAAGGACCTAGTCAGGATTCTCAGCTTTACAAAGGCAGACAGTGAAGTCAATCACACAATTCTTCAAGGGGACACAAAGCAAAATTTGTCCCTAAATCTGCAATGAACACCAACTCACCCCTCAGGTATGCACACTGCTACTCCACTGTGTGCAGCTAGGATAAGAGCTGAAAACATTGGTTTGGCATCTCTCTCCCCCTCTCCCTAACAAAGGGACAAAGTCACCTTTCCTGATGAAGGACTAAGGGTTGTAAGGATCAAGTGCTGTCCAGGTAAATCTCCATGTAAATGCAACCCCTGCAAAACTTGTCAGTATCCTAATTAGACAACAGCCATTTTTTTTGTGATGCCATACTACTGTCATTTGTGCTTGCTCTCCATGGGTGCTGAATAATTACAGAATCATACTTTGTGTCCTTTGCTTCTGGAACCATTTAAACAAAAAAACCCTTCAGAGCAAAGTTATTCCACAAACATCTTGCTTTGGTTTCTTTGCTGTGGTTCTAGCTCTGCGCTTGCTGACTTCACCTAAGCAATCTCACAAGACAATCCTGTGATACCCAGATGTATGTTATGCTCAGAGGCCCTCACTCAGCAGGGAGAATCGCTGAGAGAAAAAGGCTGTTCCTGAGCACCAGGGCTGAACACCTCAGCTGTGCCTGACAGAATATGGGAGCCTGCTTTATGCACAGCTTGAACATTACATAAACCTTCATGACAGACTGAGACTGAGCTGTTTGCAGTCAGCCTTTATCTTCCCTTTATTTCCTTCCTAACCTGAACATTCTCGAAGTCTTTAGAAGCTGGCAAAACATAGGCTCCCAGTCCCTTCCAATCCATTTTAAAAGGCCTCCCTCGTTGCTCTTGTATTTCCCACTAACAAGCCCTACTGTAATCCACACTGACAGCCACGATGTAACCGTTGTTCTGCACCGGAGATCTACCGACCCACCTGAAACCAAACCAACGCAGAGCAAAAGGGCAAGTGTGTCTGCAAGTGCCGGGACTGTTTCATCTGCAGGATCTCGAGGCGGAAGGTCCTTGCCTGCTGTAAATGGTAACCTTGTCAAAAAGCTGGGACAATAAATGTCAGCTTCACTCAAGCCTTTGCTGGCACACGGCGTCTGTTTTAGGGAGATCTTCGCATTTAACCATAGCCAATCACGTGCTGTTAAAAAGAGTCGTGGAAAACCAGGCAAAGGAAAATTACTTGCTTACTGAAAGCAGATAACTAAGAAAATAAAAAATCCTAAAAAATAAAAACATAAAATCGACTTGTGGGTATCATATGAAATGTGAATTTTGATTATTGCAAGTGGTACCTCGTGACAGTGATATTAAAAACATTAAGAGTGCAGGGAGTATTTGTTATTTATATATTTCTACTCTCAGAGATCAAGAGGTGAGCACTGCAGAAACATCTTTGCATCTCTCAGGACTCCTCAGCTTGTCAACTAATGTAAGTTACAAGAAGCATTTGAGAAGGTCTTACCACTTTTTATGGACACTCAAAAGGATGGAATGATGCTTTTAATGACTTAGTCTGCTTGGTCTCTGATCCAAGGAAATCTGGCGTCAGCTTTAGGAAGGGCCTGAAATTAGGTTCCCAAATCTTCTGCCACCACGAAGCAATGTTTTCCTGAACCAGGGGCTCAGCTCTTTGTGTATGATAAAATAAATAAATAAAATGCATAAATACTTCAGAAAAGAACTCCCTGACCTCCTCAGTGTCTCACACATGGTCTTTTTGCTTTTTCAAAGCTGTCTTTATGTTTGGCAAATGGACCCGGAACTTCGAATGAATAATTACAATTAGAAATATTACTGAATGGACACAGCTAAGCTGTTTAAGCTTTTGACCTGCTATATTAGAGATATGACTGCCATGTGCCGCTCACAATATTTGGCTAATGCAATGTGGAAACAAAGAAAAGCTCACAACCATCTCTTGAGTTTATAAGTAGGCATGTGTAAGTGTATCTTAAATACTCACAGCATCTTGGCAGTTGCCATGATAAATGACTTTATTCCTATGCAGAGACAGCTGGTTACCACGGGGCTTCAATTTAACAACACTGGACACATACACTTTACTAAGTATATTTATGTGTATACATATATATATATGTATGTATGTATGTTGTTTGAATATAAATCTATGTTCATACATTTTAAAAAATAACACTAAAAATCTGCCAGTGACTTACATGAACTTATGACTGAATTACTCAGTAAAACTCCTGCAGCACAGTCTGGCTTCACCAGGGGTAAAAGGCTCAGGTCAGATCTAGAGTCCCTTCATTAGATCAATTATGTTTCTTGTATAATGCATGTCTTTGCATAAGGTGCAAATTTCCCTTGAAAGAGCCTCTGAAAAGACATCCCAAAGGAGCCTCCCCAGGTATGTGCACTGACTGGTCATTTCAGTGGCTGGGGACACGACCCAGGCAGGCAGTCACCTCGCACTGCTCGGGGGGGGGCTGAGATCAGTGTGCCAAGCAAAGATCTCCTCACATTTGCTCCCATCAACTTCCTGGATCCAAACCTCCACACTGTTCCTGCCAGCCCAGCACATTCCCTCCATGTTAAGCAGGACGTGAGTCAGCCTTCAAAGTCAGAGGGATTCAGGTTATGAGAAACTGGAAGCAAAATTCTGAATCCTTGCAACACAGGGAGCAAGATGAAATCTTGAGGAAGCAAGCAGGTGGCTGCTGAGTGTACAGGGATGGTTGCTCTTGAAAAAGATGTCATGGTACATCCCAACATTTACATAGATCTGTCATCAACTACAACAATCCCCACAGGTTCAGGCATACAATGTTTTGTGTTCCCTCAACTGGCAATGAAAATGTTATGTTGAATCGCTGCTGTAAAATTATCATCTTGACTTTTAGCACCATTCAAATCCTACCTGGCAGACAAAGATTATATTGACAAGGTTTCTGTCAGGTTGTTTCGGTGTGGAAGGTTTAAAATTTGTTCTGCAAGGCTATTACAAAAAGTAAAACAAAAACCTACCTTAAATATACCACAATAAAGTCATTTTAGCTCTATAAATACATTTAAAAATCTGTTGTTTTAAACAAACTGTGCTTTTTTAGAAGCTTTCCTGAAATTAGATGCTTCTGCCCAAACTTGGATAACTTGGCCTAGATCTCAGGCTGTTTCAGGCCAGTAAATAATTGATTTCACAGCCAGTTTATATTCCCAGTGCACAACAGAACAGACTGTCATTTCTTACCCCATTGCTTTCCCCGTGAATAAAGTAAACTTCTCCACAAGGCATGGATTTGTCCACACCGGAGCTTGATTGAGGAGACTGAGCCAAACAAGTCCAAGTAGTTTGGGTAGAAGTAGATGCATTTCAGAACTACGCTTCAGATTTGAGGCCACTAAGTGCTAACATGATATTCATGTAAATTCCCTTAAAGGTGCTTGTGGTATTAATAGCCACTCATCTATTCAGGTAAGAAAATAAAATGTTCACTCATCTTTTAAAAAATGCAGTGTCCCCATCCTTTCCAGGACTCACTGCTGCAAACACATCACTGACCTACAACAGTCACTGGGGTTCTGCCCCTGATTTAACAAAGGTCACATTTCACTCAAGTCCCTGAATACTCAAAACTCTCTTCCTGAAAGTAAGCCTTGCATTCTGCTTGGTACATCCATTCGGCACGCCCAGACTCCGCAGCTCCTTAAATCTGAAATTAAGTGGCTGAAATCCTTCAAGAATTCAAACTTCCACCGCTTTCCTTAAAATGTGGCTTTAAACTGATTCAGTTACAGTTGTACCAACCTGAAAGGGACTTCCTTACCTGGATTCAACTCTATTTTAGACTTGCAGTGACCGCCGATCAACTGAAACGTCACGAGTACAGGGCAGAATTAAATTCAGGTAAGCACGGTCCGTTGAGATTGATTTTTAAAGTATATATTTAAACAAGTTTAAAGCTCTGGTGGTGTAACTTTGAAACAGATAAACCTCACACTATTGCATCTCTGTGAACTATAATTGAAAGGATTAGGGCTTCCAAAAAATCTTAATATAAGAAACATTTGTCAGTCAGCAGAAACCTACTGTTTACTAAAAGTTATTCAACAATATTCAATATAGGTTTTACTCACAAATATTAACATAGTTATTTGGAAAAAAACATATAAAAATTCCTGTTCTGACAGGTTACTCCACCTACCTTGAACATTGTTTTTTCTAAAACTAGACTGCTGTTCTACCTGACTTGTTTTGTCAGGAGCAAAAGCCAGTCTCACATCTCGTTCTCCACAAGCACTACCATCATAAAGCCAAAGCTAATCAATCGATTTCAGAGACACGGCTGAAGACAGAAAGCTGAAAATTAAACAGGCAAGTGACATCACAGCAAAAACAACACATTATGCCAGTGAAAATCTCTTCCTGTGCACACATTTCAGATTGGTCCTCCTACTGCAGAAACTACCAAAAAGTGCAGTACACAAAAAATAGAAATAAATTAAAAAAAAAAAAAAAAAGACAAGTATAAAATTCACCTTTGGTAGGGACAAAAGCAGTTTTCCCAGCATGTCTTAAGACCCCCTCATATCATACCCTATCCTACCATTGTGCCTTTGAGCTGCTGTCAGACGAAGGCCATCCATGTCAAGCAGAAGCCAGTCAAGGATCACATACTTACAGCAAGTCAAAGCCAGAGCTGCAGTGAAGCCTCTCCACTGAGGAAAAGGCGCTTTAGTCTCCCTTTGAAATACTCATTTAGAATCCACTGAAGCTGCTAAGAATGGTAACAAAAACAGGTGACTGGTCAAAAGACCAGAGCAGCCTCAGACATGAAGTGTGACCCTCACTTTCAGAAGAATAAAACTGCAAATGAATCACAATGACACTAAAAACCCCTGCCCAAACCAGCCCAGCTTCACTAGTGGCTCCCTCCAGCCCCTCAACCCCAGCCCCCCCAGCCCCCAAACTCCCTCCTTCCCCCAGACAGCACCCCCTGGCCACCCACTGGCCCAGTCCCCAAAGGCTCTGCCAGCCTGGCTGGTTCCTGTGGCCCCACATGCCAGGGACAGCCCACGGCTTGGGCAGCAACAGGCACAGCAGAGCTTCCCACTAGGAGGTTGAAGCCAGGTGCTGGATGTCCTCCAGCACAGCCAGGGACTTCCAGAGTCCAAGCCCTCCCAACTCAGGTCCCTGCCGGACTCAGTAAAGCTATGGATATGCACTGCATCCCAACGGAACTGTCCGCGCGAGTCCTGCAGACCTCAGGAAGAATGCAAAACTGCTGGTTTTTTGCTTTGGGGGCTTTCCCACAGGCTTTGGCTACGCTAAGTGAGAGGTGCGGGCTCCTTCAGCAACCACAACAAGAAGGTGCACATTCAGTTGGTCTGTCATGTTCCAGAACAGGCCTGCACTTGCTGATGTGGCTGCACGCCGTAAGCACACCTCAGAAGTGCGTGTCAGTTCATCTATGGCACAGCTAACAGCAGTTCAAGGTTCCTTTTGCTTCTGCTTAGAACAAGCGACTTGCAGGACGTTCTAGCACAACACACAAATATCAAAGCAAGGTATTTCAGGTTTCACACACAATGCAAAGCTACGATTACTACAGTATTTAATGCACACCAATAGGAAAAGTTCCTAAAAAATACTCATGCAGTTTTTGTGCCATGGGTTAGGTAACGGCTATTTCGTAGAAATAGATCCAACTGGCTCCATTGGAGCAGCAGTATAAATATTCAAAATAGAAGTAATAATAGGCCCTGATATGAAACTTCTCTCCTTTTTTTTCCTTCCGCCAATCTGTCCCTTCCGTCAGCAAGGACACACTCTGCTTAGGAGCAACTGCATCTCGCTACAAGAGTAAGCTGTGTTTGTGGGGTGGCTTTAAGTGACACAGGCCACATAGTTGCCAACACTGTTTGATTTAAGGAAGTATTTTAGGCATTTTAGTGGTTATTATTATTATTCATCTCATGACCAACAACATCAACAACAACAAAAGAAACAAAAACCCAACAAAGGAAGGTACAGTGGGCTTCCTAATGCAAGAGGACGTCCCGCGGGCACAGGTACGAGAAGGCTGCTCAAACAACACCTGCAGAGCTCAACAAGTAGCAACACAACTGCTTTCCAGAATGAAAAAGGACAGTGCAGACACATCACTGACTCTCTCTACCGCCTGTCCCTGGACCCTTCCTTCTTCTTGCCAAGGATCCCCCAGCACACGTTGCTCTCCGAGGCCAACAGGACAGGGCTCTCTCCACAGGACTCCGCTGACAATCACGGTGCAAGGAGCTGCCAGTGCCTCCGAATGTTTAGCGTAACAAGGAAAGAACAAAAATCAGGTGCTGAGCTGTATGGAAATCAAGGGTGTAAATATTTTCATTTACAACATTTTGCCAACAGAAAATTCGAAAAGTGCAATTGAAATAAAAATTGGCTTTTTGTCTGTGAATGGAACATGACTCTCTTCTTTTTTCTTATAAGTTGGAGTTCTTTTTTTGCTGATATAGTTTAAAGTTTGGTGTTTTGTTTTCTTTTTCCTTTCTTTCTTTAATGTAGGGTTTGCTGTACCTTTACCATTAATATTTGCCACTGTTTGTACCATAGACAAAAACATTCACCTAGCTGGTCATCTCTTAATACATGTCATAGTAGAACATATACAAGAAAGAGGAAAAAACATACAAAACAGATCAGAAGTGATCAGTGCTTAAAGTAAATACAAGAGTTGCAGTGGCAAGAATCCACGGTATCAATACATATAAACAAAGCTGTGATGGTGCTTCTCAGGGGGTAGAATCTGCCTGCATATTAATACAGAATTATACAAAATCTAGTTGGTATTGGAACAATGAACAGCTAAACTTTCACAATAACTTAAGATCCGTAAGTCTGCATTGAAGATATTCCACGTGTGTCTTCCTCCCAGAGGAGGGCTGATGAATCCACATGATCTGTTATAAGTTCAACTGCTTAAGATGACAAATATCTGGCCAGGTCCAGTGTATTCTTTAAAGAATGGCAAATTATGACTTCAGTAACTATGTCTGTGCAAAATATGCCTCTTTCCTCTTAAAGAAACCAGTGTCTGTAACTCATTTAGAAAAGTTTCGATACGTACTTTTGTCCTTATCAGAACGAATAAGACACGAAGAATTGAATCCCCCCCAAAACAAGAAATCTGATGAAGCAGAGAAAGTTCTGACCTTCCATGGCCACGTGCAGACCATTAAAAACCAGGACACCTTGGTAGCCCCTCCTGGGCTGGCAATCAAACTATTGCTTGGAAATGCCATAAACACTCCAACATTCATAGTAAAATGGTAGCAGTGTTTACCCTTTGTATCCACACTTAGCTTGCATTCCTCATCACACTTGTACAAGATTCATTATAGCAAAAAGTCATCAGCTGTTGCCTTGACAAACTCCTTTTATCCATTTTTATGCTGAGTATCTTGAATTGCATTTCCATTTGACATTGCCCTGTGACCTTTGGATTGTTACAGGAGACCCAGTGCTCAGGAGAAGATGCAAGGTTGATCTCTGGCAAGTAAAGAGAAGAACAACAAGAACAACCCCCCCCATCAAAACAAACAAACAAAAAACAGCAAAACCAAAACTAAAAAACAAACAAAAAACCCCCACAACCAAAAAAATTCCCATGATTCTCCATGAGAGTCAGCCCCTGTACGACGTACCCTCTTCTGCATTGTAGCAATAGTCTTAAGTCATAAATTAATTAGTCTTCCATCAAATAACTTAAAAAAAAGAAGGAATTGTAGCAGACCAGTTTTGCCTGGCTTAACGCCAGTTAGCAGCCAGTTCATCGAATCCCAGTCCCACTGTTCAAAAATTGAGCTAGGAAATCACATGAACGTTGACACAAAACCTCTTCACATGGATGCAGGATTGTTCCAGGTTGTGGGGGCCAGGGAGAGGGCAAACCTAGATGGGGCCACGGGTCCTAAGAACAGTGAGCAGGACGTGTGTCACGACTTGGAGGTGCACCACATTCAGGAGATGCCAGCCGTGGCTCGTATTGCACAGGTAAGAAGGAAGCTCCTCCTGACAGTCTGCCACCTGCATTAGTGATCTCTGCACATTGGCAAGTTCACAAAGGTGAAAACATTGAACTCTGTCATGATGGAGAAACACAGGAAGATGCCGTAAAGGGAAAGGCACACACACCCTAGCTTCTTATCCAGTTTCCATTTGTTCATGTGGACACCAAAAACCTACAACAAACACAGAGTAAGCCACCGCAGCAGGAACATTTTGAATAAAGTGGTAAATCCCCGCTTCAGCTACAGGAGCAAGGAGAGTGCTGTCCCCTTACTGATGATGATCGGCTGGAAGCAATCATAAACCAAGTTCTGCAGCAAGTGAGCTGACCACAGCTGCAGCAAATCAGAACAGCAGTCAGGGAAACCACCCTGGCTTAACATCACTTCAGCTCAAGTTTCTGCAATGAATTTCATTTCGGTAAGAACAATCCCATTTAATTCAATTAGAAATTTAAAGGCCAGATTCCCTTTTCATCACTCAGAATGTTTCATGTGCTCCTCTGCATCTCAGTCTAGAGTCACACACTCTAAGACTGTGCTTGACTTTGAACAGTTTGCTCAGACCGAAGATTAAAGTCTTGTGTATGTGAGAATTGTTCTGGTATGTAACACACAGGACTCCCCTCTATAGCACCTGGTCTCAAGATTTGGAAGATGTCACATCATTCCTCCTCTCTCTGTCATTTCTGGGAAAGGTCAGGGAATATGAAGCCCTGCTTTCAATAGAAACGTTGTCATGTCCAGGCACTATTTTTCCTGGACTGCATTATATTGCAGAAGGATCCTACAGAGGACCAAGCACCCTGTACAGCATTTTGTCTACCTGTCCCACAGGAGAACAGACCTCATCATGCATCAAAGGATCTGCTTCAGCTCTAGCATAAAAATAACTAACGATTACTAATGGATCTCCCAGGCTCCACCCATGACATACAAATACAGGAGTGTCATCCTGTGACTGCTGCAGAGTGTCAGATCAAGGTCTCAGGAACTTTACAGCAGCAGTGACCGCTCCCAGCCCACAACCACAGACTTTGCAAACACCATTTCAGCTGGAGTTGAGGAAGGAACAGGTGAAGAAAATATCTATAAAAAGCTCTCTTTTGGAAATGAAGAACAAAAGACTATATACATACTGTGACAAAAACAGATGCCAGCAGGAGACCAACAGAATAGATAAGTCCTCTGCTGTTTAACCGAATCTGTAAAAAAAGGAAGGTTTTAAAACCATCTCACAATTTCAAGCAACAATATTTCTCTCTGTTGACATTTTCATAATCTTAAACTGCTGACTTGTTAAATACTCGCTTGCAAGCTGTAAATACCGAGTCAAACCATTACATCACAGATTATTTTGCTTACTCCCTGTTTTGTAAAAGAAGAAGAAGCGTTACTAGAGGAACATCCTTAGGACCTGACAACATTTGAAGGTGTTCTACTCCTACATGGGCTTTGCCATCACTTGTACTCACAAACATCCCCCCCATTTGCAGAGCTCTGCTGCTGCCTGAGATTTCCTGTTCCCTTCACATGTGTTAAAATAGTGGCTTACACAAATGGCACATTTTCCTTCTTTACTGATTTTTGACATAATAAAAAAGGCTACAGCCATGACGATCGTTTGTTCACAGAGATACTCCAGGATTTCTTTAGGATATATGCTGTAAGGGCACGGATATACAGCAGGACCATTCTATTCCTATGACCATTACACGTAGAATGCAATATTAGCACTAGACTGACTGTCCAGAGAAATGAAGGATTTGGATTGCTTCAGGGCATGAAGGTCAATTTTGGGACTGCCTGCATTAAGTGAAGGTGAAAAATGTCATGATCCCACAGCCATTGAAAACTCCAGAGACAGACCGGTCAAAAAAATCCTAAACTAACTCTGTAGCTAAAACACAAATTAAAGCCATCTTCCCTGCTACCCTAAATGAACAGCAGCTGGCTAGGAAAGACAGATACTATTTTGCAATAAATTCCTGTCTGGATTTTGGTCAGGAATTTTGTCTGACTAGTGCCAGTATCTGTAAAAACTCATAGTATGAAATGTATCAATTGGAAAAGGATCTACAGGAAAAGGAAGCAAATGAAGAAGATGGAATTATTTTAGCATGGAAAATGTCTGAATTCAACCTGAAGTGCAGACACTGCTTCTCCATTACATCTTCAGCCTCCATAAAACCAGCAGACCATTCCAAGGGCCTCTGTGTCTGATTTGCTGAGGACTGTGCTTCCAAAGAGAAATGTTTGGGGCTGCTTTCTTTGGACTACCTGCAGGGCTCTTCCTTGCAGGTCATTCAGGGGAATAAAAGTTGCTATTAAAGATTATTCAAAAGTAGAAAGTGTATGCTAATTATTTATGGCAGCTTCGCAAATGTAACAGCAACACAACTTATGCTGTTCCTGTGCAGGCAAAGCAACCACGAACTCCCCCTCTGCAGGGTTACTGCATCAAAACACTTGAGTTTGACTCCAGCTTAACAGTTCTCAACTTGGGCCAAACAAGCAACATTCCTGGCCTGGGATCTAGCCCAGCTCCCACTGCTGGGCAAAGCAAAGAGCTATTAATTAACCTAAATAGCAAGAACTTTCCTGGCAGCCTTTCCACATTTTCTAACGTAACAGGCATCTGTCTGCTTCAGAAAGCGATCCTACAGAACCATGAGTTGTTTTTGTACAGTACTGATAAGTGGTTTTGAAAGAGCTAAATCCAAACCAGGCTGAATCCCCACTGTTTACATATGCCTTTGTTCTCTCATTTTACTTCTCCATTTGCTTAAAGGATCCCTCCATTCTCCACACGAGCCAAAGTCTGCTGAGCTCAGACTCCACGTGCCAGAGGAGTGATGCTGGAGCAGCTCTGCACCAGCACCTTCATTGCTCTGTGCCAGCCAAATCCATTTGTGTGCACAGGGGAACTCCACAGCACGTATACTGCAGATTCAGTGCAGCTGGAATTATGGAATTACACCCAGCACCCACCTATGGAATCCATCTCCCAGCCATCCCAGGGCTTTGGGAACAGTCTTACATCAATGTCTGACTGTTCCAACTGTCTTTCTGGGGTTTTTTATTCAATTCTCATTGTTTTATAGCCCTTCTCACGTGTTGTCTTTGTCCTCTTCTGTCCCTTTTCTGCCTGTTCTGTGGCATGACAGGGAGATGTCATGCATACATCACCTCCTGAAAAATCTGTGGAATTCTTCACAGCTTTTCAAGTACTTTGAGCTCACCAGCAAGGTTTTTTTACCCAAACAGTTGCACTTTTTCATCCAGAAATTCCAGCTGTGATATATATCCAGTTCAGCCAAATGAACTTCCTGACAAGCCCCTTCTTTTCCTGCATTTCACTTTGGACTACATGCTGCTGTTTCACAAATGTCCCATCAGACTACAGCTTTGAAAACACACACTGAAGTGATGAACTATTCCACCTCTGTGATGATCGCTGCAGCCTACTCCATTTCATGATAGAATTAACTGTGAGCACAGAAGCTCGGAAGATTCTGAAATCTGGAACAAAAGCTTAAGAAAGATGTGTCCTTGATCTGTCAAATCAGAGCAGAAATCAGTCGAGAGGCCCTCTCATGAGAAGAGTGGCATTTCCTCCAAGAGGCAATGGAATACCTTTTCTCGGGATATGTGACAATGTGGAAGTTCAGGGAAAACAAGGCCAGCAGAACATTCAAAATCAACATTCCCAAACTCTCCTTTGAGGTCTGGCTTGTATCTAGGGGCTGAAGTGAGCCAGAAGAATGCTGTTCTGACTGATCACACACGTGAGGTTTGTGCATTCCGTCTCCTCTGTCAGACTGATCTCTGTGCTGCCTGTGCAGCAAATGCAAAGATGCTGCCACCAGCTCCAGCCACGGCCAAGCTGCTGCAGCAGGAAATAGGTAACCCAGGTTGAGGCTAAACAGCAGAGGAAAAACAATGGAAATAAAAGCCTTCAGTTCTGTTCTGGAAGTTGCTGAAGAGGAAACAAGGAGCTACTGCCAGAACCCAGACTCGTTTTGCTTCAGGGTCCAAATATGGCAGAAATTACCCCAGTAAGGAGTTTTAGAAGGACTCTGCTATCTTTCCAGTCCCTCAGCTGAAAAACTTGCGGGTACTCTGTATGTCTGGGGATCCTTTTCCTGCAGTGCCTCTGTCTGGCAGCAGCAATTCAGTCTAAATCCTGCATTCCCCAGGTCTTGCCATGAGACAGAGGTCTCAACCAACTGGAACTTCAAACATGTGCTGCATTCCTGCATATCTAAATGGAATTTCCTTCTTAAACATCTTTTAAGACTCCTAAGGGAGCAGCATCCTGGGTTTGTTTTGTATCACAAAATTCACTTTGCAGAGGGTACCCACCTGGAATGCTGCACATGGACAATCAAGGTATCATACAGGAGATGTAGGGGTTACAACTGGAGAGATTTCCTGTGATGCCTGGAGATTTGGGAAGGACGCTTTTGTTCTACACTACAGCACAGTCATCCTGATCTCCCTGTCATGAAACCAGGGAGCAAATACCCTCACTACACGCAAACCACTCCAGGAAGCTGGAGGGACTAGATAGTGGCTTCAGCATGCACCTGCTATGCCCATCCATAGGTTTTTTTGGAATCTGACAATAAACAAATCCATTAATACCGGCCAAGTTGCATACTGCTGCTGCAGTGATGCCAGCACATCACGGTTTACTAAAAATAAATAAAATGAGAACAATGTGAACAAATGTAGGACTTACGTATGATCCGTAGTTCACTGCCAGGGTCTGCAAAGCCCATGGAAGGCCCAGGCCAATTAAAATATCGAAAACATTGCTTCCGATGGAGTTGGACACAGCCATGTCCCCCATACCTGCAGGAGTGGAAACCACATACAGTCACACATGTCTCAGAACAGTCTTGCAACTTTTAACCTTTTAAACTTGTTCTGTTACTGCCATTAAGAACCTGCTAGCTGCTTTAAAATAGCAACACAATTTATATCCCTCTTTGTTCTTGTTTTAAATTTCAGGCTCAGGAAAGGGGCTCTGTATATTTTCACACGCAGGAGCCATCCGTGCTACCCAAACAGAAAGAGAGCATAAGGAAACACTTGCAGAGCAGTACAACATCCCTGTGATGAACCTACCTTGCCTTGCTACAATAAGGCTTGCCATGCAGTCTGGCACGCTGGTTCCAGCTGCCAAGAACGTGATGCCCATGATCACGTCTGGAATTCCCAGTGTGTACCCAATGATTGTCACCTAAGGAGAAGAAAAACTGTCAAGCTGTTTACAAGCACTGGCATCCAAGACCGGCTTGGCCCAAATCTGCAATATGCTGTGATACAAGAGTGTGTCTCTCAGTACAAACTGACACTTCCTTTAAAGAGAAGCAGTGACAAGGTTTTTAGGTGTGTCATAGGCAGACGATAGCACTCACCTGCTAGGTACCCTCTTTGGTTAGTTGCTTCATACATTTCACCCACAATTTTCCTGACTAACCTGGAAAAGAGACTACATGGTGGCCCACCACCCTGATCTCGGCTGAAGTTTGCAGACATTATTACTTACAAATACTAGTTAAGCAGACACTAAAACTGCCCTGTGGTTCATTATACTATGAAAATGCTATATGCAGTGACTGCAAACAATTCCTATTAGCAGAGAGAAGATACCTTTCATTTCTTCTTCCCTTTGCTATGCAGCCTATGATAAATTAGCATTCTTCAAATTGATTAATATTTTTAAATTTTGGGGCTTTTGTCTAATGACACCCATTTCCTAATTTCCAGATTTCATCACTCTTTTCAGCTCCCTACAGCAGACTCCAAGCAATGTGAACCATAAGTCAGAAGCAGCACAGTGATTCTGTGTTTTCTTCTCTGAATGGGGACAGGTTCAGCAGAAATAGAAGCAGAAATAAAGTTTCTCATCTGAAAACTCAGGGGTGTAGAACTTCCTGTATCTTCCTCTAGGCTGACAAACCCCATTACTGTTTCTTCTCCCAGACAGTGGTTTCTGGTTTAGTTGATACGTACCATCCACACCATCATGTAAGAAAAAGCTGCAATCCAGAGGGTAGAAGAAGCAAAGGTAACCATGAACCATTTTTCCAAGTGGGGTTTGTTACAGTTGGGCACTGTGAAGTACAGGACAAAACTCAAAGGCCATGTGAACACCCACTTCAATATTTCTATCTTTCCACCTGTAAAACACCACCACAAAGGAAACAATCACAGTTCTAGTCTGTTATATTCCAGGATGTTATTATTTTGTTAATCTGTCCAAGGAAGATGCCAGGGACCCCTCAGCCTAACTGCTAAGCAAACAGACAATGACAAACCTTCCCTTGTTCAGAAGATCACGGTGTGATGGCAGATGGAGGGCAGAGAGAGGCACAGGAACATGAAGTGACTGCCTGAGAGTTTAAGCAGTGGGTCAGAGCACATGTGCTCCCTCCCTGGGAGGAAGGAAAGGGGCTGGCACTACACTGTCCCACTGAGGGAAGAGCCCACCTCTCTTCCCAGCAAAGGTAGGTCCTAGCCACAGACACATCTGACCTGCAGCAGCCTCGACAGCAGCCCCACCATCCTCAGCTTCCTCCACAGTCAGCAGAGATCCATCTCTCCAGAGGGTGAGCCATGTTTTGGGGGCAGGAAACAACCTGTGGAGACTGCTCCCTCTCCCCTCTGACTGCAACAGCAGCACAGGGCCAACACAAGAGTTGCAGCAAAGGTGTGCCCAGCCCCAGGAGCCTGCACACTGAGAGGTTCCTGCTGCTTCCCAGTTCCTCTATGTGTTCCCTGTGACCAGGACCCTCACTGCAAAGGGCAGGCTGATGGGAGCTCTCAGAGACACGTGTGTACCTCCACGTGCGTCTGCAATGCTTTCTGGTAATACCCAAACAAACACAACGCAAGCCCAGGAGCTTCTTACTGGGAAGGTCAAAAGGTGTGTATGGCCCTTCATGGTCATCGTCGTCATCATCTTCTTCCTCCTCCTCGTCGTTCTCGTTGTTCTCGTTGTCCTCATTCTCAGTCTCGGTCTCGTTCCCGGCCTCGGCCACGTCCTCGTCCCGCCGGGTGCCGTTCATGCCCCGCTCCGCTGAGTTGCTGGGGCCTGTACCATTCTCAACCACGTGCTTGACAGGGATTTTAATTGCCACTTCGGACTCACCGTTCGTGTAAGTCCTGCTGTTGATCAGCCTTTGCCTCTGTAAATACAGGCACAAAGTCTTGCTAAAAGATAGGTTTTTTAAATTTTTTTAATCTGATTTTTTTTAAGAGAAAGGGAAGAACAGAGAAGTAGAGACAAATTTGGCTTTAAAAGTAAAAGGGATGAATTTCAATCAGGTAAAATACGATGCTTGTCTGCAGACCACTAGATAAATCTCATATATGCAACTAATAAGAGAAGAACTAGTGGCTGTGGAATTGACTCCAGGAGCACTCCAAGACTAGGGATAGACTAAATGCAGACTCGGGGGAGTACCATATTATTAAACAAGTGCAAGTGATGTTATCAGATCAATGCAGGGGGCACCTCCTGTGAGCAACAGTTACAGGTAACACAACCTCATAACAACCTGAAACTTGTTCTGCTAAAATCTTCACGGGGACAGATATAAGGCATGACTTAAGAAAGTCAATGTCAGAAGGATAAAATATGGGAGAGCGCCATCAGGGATTCAGAAGAAACACAAGAATTCCATTTCAACCCAAACACTGCTACAGGAAAAAGTAAAATCAGGAGAAGGGCTGGTGAGGGAGACAAAAGACACACCTCATTGATTAACATGCGGCTGGCCATGGAGAGACGTGTTTTGGGAGGGAAATGGCTGGTTATCATGATCCGGAGCCCAGCCTCGGAAAAGGAAAGCTGGTGTGGGTAGGCAGATAGCAGCTCATCAACCATGATCACTGAGGCTTTACGGTGGAAATTTCCTGCAGCCAGGGAACAAAAAGAAATTAAGGTCTCCTTCCAGCAGTCTCTCCCTCTGGCCTATATGGCTTTCAGAATCATAAACCTCCTGCGAGGTACCAGTGCAAACAAAAGCTGCATCCTGGGCTTGCAGCTCATGGCTGGGAAGTGCCACCAAACCCAGCAGCAAGTGCATGTGCCAGGGTGGCCCAAGGTATGGGAGCAAAGGGACTGATCTCAACGTGGCAGAGCTGCTTCTTAGGTTAAATTGGTGCCTCAGGGCAAGGGGAGGTGTTATTCCCGAGGACAGGTGCATATACATCCCAAGCAGTCACTGCACATGCTTGTTGAATGTTTCAAAGACCAAAAACCCCCACTTCAAATACAGTTTAGCACATGCTTGCAAATGCAGATATTGCTGCTGAGCTATGGGATGGGGGATTTTTTTTTAAGTTGAAGAAACACAATTATTTTTATACGTGATCATACTGAAGTTAAACAGGAGCATATTTCAGCCAAAGTGAAATACTCTTAAAGATCACTTACATGGCAAAGCTGTGCACATTCAAGACAGCATGTGTAGTAAGAGCCAGACGCACACAGAGTCCCCACCCTGCCCTCACTAGGGGAAAAGTGTACACTGGTCTAAGCAGAGCTTCTTTCTCTGCTCAGTTGATGCCCCTTTGGAATGGAGTTAAATTTAACAGGATATCAATGGGCAATGCCAGCGCAGAGTAACAGGACCTGCAGGAGGACTCTCAGTGGCTGTAATGGGCTAAATAATCAGCCCCGTGCTTGAGGGAGTCCTTACAGCCAAACACTTGTACAGCAACAAGAATTACCCGGAAGAGGCCAGAGCTGTCTCCACTGGCAGAGGCTGTGCTGGCTGGGACCACCACACTGTGCCCCCACCTGGAAGGGGGGTTACAAAAGGAGCACCTGCCCACCACTGTATTTCATGGCTCACAAGACAGCAGCAGTTCACCCAGTGAGACCAGGGACAGGCTTGTAAACACTCAGAATGATGCAAGCAAGAGAGTGACTTACTGGAACAGTTACCTTTCTTTAGTAACACCACTGTGGCATCGCAGTTGCTGCTGTCATCCATTTCCGTGTTATTTGCTAAACCATTCACCATATTTGCAGAGTTTTTTGTCTTTCTCTCAAAGCAGTGATGTATGGTTGAGTTGTACCTGCACAAAGGAAACAAACTCAGGATGTACTTTTACTTCATGAGTTTTCCTTTCCTAGACTTGTATTCTGTGTAATCCAACTAAGGGAGAGAAGAAAACTCCTCTGGCTTTAAGGAGTATGCCAGAGCATAGTAAATTGTACACCATGCAATCCCTCTGTACCCAGAAGACTATGAAACATAGGAGCCATGAATCCTGAATGACACGTATGCTTATGCATTAGGTGTGATTAATATTCTGTATCATGAGTAATCATTGCTTGTCGTCATCCAAGCTTATTTTTTATCACATAATCACACCTGAGTATGTGTTGTTTTACCTGAGATGACCCCCCACAGAAACACAAGGCCAAACGATCAGTTCATCTCTGCTTTGGCAGGGAGAGGAATAATCCTTGTTTCTTAGACTACCCAGGAGCTAACACAAACATGAGCCAAGGGTCTCATTATGGTACTCAAAGGCAAGGGCAGACCCCTGTAAACACCTGGCCAAGGTACCTAACCAGGGCAACAACCTTTCCAGTTAGATGCAAACAGGTCTGAAACATCTGTTCACACTACAGCATTGCTTTCAGGGAAAAAAGCAATATTCAGACAGTACAACCGTCTTGCTGGTCAATTAATTGTTGCAAGGGTGAAGCTACCCACCATGTGAAAGTTTCTAATTATTAGAAGTGAGATGAATTCTGACTCGTGTTCCTGTCAGCCCAGTAGAGTATTTACTCTACTCATAATTTCAAAACAAATCTCTACTCTTACTTATTGAGACAAGACCACTGGTGTGCTTGGCAGCTGGTAGGTTTTGTTCAGTGTTCCCATTTAAATCTGGGTTTCCTTTCCACCAGCTTTTGAAAACAAGACAGGAGGAGGGCAACCAAACAGCAGAACAGACTAGTTCTACTAGCAGGAACTTGTGTGAAAGAATTCACACAGGTCGTATGCTCAGAAAATTACCGCTGACTGTGCTGTAGTTTTATCATAGGTCTCCAGGCGAGCAAGAACTACTGCAGAGCTTCACACCCATAAAAGGCAGACTGCAATCTCACACCTGTTTATTTCCAAGTAGGGATGCTAAAGTGAAGTCAGAAGAGGCCTGCTTTGGTGGACTTGAAGATGGATCCAGGTCTCTGCTCTGTCACAGACTTGGGCATTAGCCTTGGTCTGTTCACACAGGGCAAGATCCGTAAAGCACAGATTCATAGGACGGTTTAGGTTGAAAAAGACCCCCAAGATCATCAAGTCCAATGTTAATCCAACACTGCCAAGCCCACCACTAAGTCATGTCCCCTAGTACCACTTCTACATGTCTTTTAAATCCCTTCAGGGATGGTGATTCTACACTACCGTGGGCAGCCTGTTCCTGAATAACCCTTTTTGTGGAGAAGTTTTCCCTAACAGCCAACCTCTGGCAGAACTGGAGGCTGTTTCCTCTTTTCTCTGTCGTGAAGGCTGGGTGATGCAAAGGGAGCGGGGAGCCTCAGAATTTAAAAAAGCCGAGGGCACATTTGACTTACTTCATTATGAAGATGTAGATGACATACATCAGCACTAAGACTAAGGACTCCCACCTAAAAACAAGAGCAACACAAACACATCAGAGCAGGGCACGGCAGTCAGCTGCTGACGTTCAGCCATTCCCCCACTGTCACACCACATGCGTGCAGAAAGGCCTGACCCTCCTGGGCCGTCTGAACACTCCTCTATAAAAAAGGGATGCACAAAGAAATGGCTCACGCATCCATGCACGATGCCTCCCTTGCTTTGTTGACTTCTACTCTGCTTTTACTTGGCTAAACTGGCTTGTCAGCTAAGAACAAGTGACAAAACTCAGGAGTTCAACAAACAAATCGCACAGCCACGGACCGCTGACACTCCTGTATGGACAATAACCGTGGGGGCTGTGGCTGAGGGAGGGGAGCAGTCCTGCTCGGCCTGCACGGGTAAGGCAGGGTGTGGGGCTCTGTGAGAAAGCTAAGGCACGCTGACCAGACAGCCTGAAAGAGGGGCCACTGCTCCTTCACTGCTGCTGCATGAGCACTGAGAATGCAGCAGGCAGCAGTTTAAACTGCTCATTAGATACCGACAGGTTTTCTCTTCTGCTGTTTCTGTGTCAAACTAATGAAATAACAAAATTTGTGTGAAAACAAAATATGACTTTTAGAGCCTGTTTGTAGGTAATCTTTTTCATTGGCCAAAACACTGTATTCTGCAGAGTTCCCTATGGCAAAGTGCTAGTCCTGGTAGAAATCAGCCATTATTAGACTCTATATACTAAAAATCATGGACCACTTTCTCCTCCAGCATTTTGAGACATTGCACAGTTATATCAATATCTCATGCCCTGCTTCTGGCGATTCAACACTCGGCTTCCCCATTGATGTGTTTTTGTTGAAGAGCACAGTCAAGCACAATTGGGTCTCAAGCCAATTTTAGTGAAAAAACCCAAACAAACAAACCACAAGAAAAACCAACAAAGAAAACCAAGCCCGTCGCAAGACAGGGTGCTTGAAACCTGCCTCTGAAATGCAACACAAACCCCCGCCGAGAATGAGTGAGGGAAAACACAGAGCCAAGCGGCCTGACGCTCTCTAGTGCTTGTAATCCAAATTACAGCGGCTGGGAGCGACACCAAAGCCACCTGCACTGCACCTCCAGCCCCGAGAGGGATTGGAAACAAAATCTCGAGACCAAAGCAACTGGAAGCCCACTTCTAAAAGTGTCTGAAGCCCTCCTAGCCTACCACATCTACTGCACCACACTAATTCACATTAATGGGGATATTAAGTTTTTAATTCTTTTTTTTAAATTGGTCATTCACTCTTTAATATTGCCTTAGGAACTTTCAGTTTTTAAATTATTAAAATCCAAATATTGGAATACAATTATTTAGGACTGCTTGGGTGGCCCCTTCTGGCACACCACATCTCTACTGAGCACATTGCCAACTCTGGGCTGCTGCAGGATGGGCAGAGGGCACTGACTGCTGCTGCTGTATCAGGAACAGTCTGAACAATGCTCTCCTGGCCCTTCTAGCTCAAAAAATTAGTTTTCTAGCCCATCTTATGCTGATGTTTCTCACACAACAGGAAACTGCTGCCCTGCAGAACTTTCTAGATTCCCCCTCCTCTCCCGAGGAACCCGAATTGTGGCAGCTTTAGTGTGTAACCAGTAAAAATGAAAAGGGATTCACTTACCAGGAAACTCTTTCATCATAAATAAACTGTGGAGAAAAGGTTTAAAAATAGCATGTTATACACAAATCCATAGCTGAAAACAGCTCATCACCTGAGGCAGCAGACAGAGTAGAGCAACCCAGGGCTTGGGGCAATGGCATTAAGCTAAGGTGTAGTTCAGCACTGCCCTCCTACTCAGCCTTTGAGCTTTTCAACCCTTAGTTTCTCTCACCTAGTCAAGGCAGGCAGGTACTCCTTCCTGAATGCCGTGGATCCTGGTGGTAACCGGGGCTATTGCAGCAGTTACAGGGAAAGCAGCTGTGAGCCAAGAAGGGGCTGCACCCTCTGACCCACTTGGCTGTCCCACCGGGACTGCTCCTGGGCGGCAGCCGAGGACCAGCCAGCGGATCCACAGCCACCTCTGCCGCTGCTGCCAATGCATCCTGCTGGCTCAACACTGGGCCCAGGGTTTCCAGCAGCTCGGGGTGACCGCCACTCCAGCTGACTATGAAAGCCCCTCCGGCACACCCGATGACAAGTTGGGCTCAGCAGCTTTCCCAACAGTGCTGCTCAGCCCCCTCAGGCAAGAAATGTGTCCATTCCAAGAGGGATGGACCAGTACCATGGTGAGGGCTGAGGGAAGGACCAGCTCTGTGGTGGTGGTGAGGGTTGCCAGGGCAGGTGCAGCGCTGTGGCACGGGGCACACCCCGGCAGGATGAGCCCCGCACCGGCAGGGTGAGCCCCACGGCCCCGCACCGGCAGGGTGAACCCCACAGCCCCGCACCGGCAGGGTGAACCCCGCACCGGCAGGGTGAACCCCGCAGCCCCGCACCGGCAGGGTGAGCCCCACAGCCCCGCACCGGCAGGGTGAGCCCCGCAGCCGCACAGCCCCGCACCGGCAGGGTGAGCCCCGCAGCCCCGCACCGGCAGGGTGAGCCCCGCAGCCCCGCACCGGCAGGTGGCTGCCGCGCTCTGCCAGGCCCGCGCTCCCCGCGCCGCCGGTTCTCGCCGGGATGGCTGACGAGGGATCCCGGGGCGACCCCGGCCCTGTGCCAGGACCCCCCCCAAAGTGCCTGCAGGGAAGTGCTGCGTCTGCACCAGCGAAGCACATTCACGGCAGCGCCCCACGGACAACGGGAGGGAAAGGGAATGAGCCCCTGAGAGCAGAGCGAACGCTCCCCCTCGGCCATACAGCCATAAATAGCAACTCCCGTGTGACACCCGGCACCAGGCAACTTACACTGGTAGTAACTAAAAGAAAACATGACCACAAAACGTTGTAAATTACAGCTCCCAGTCACCGCGATCTAATCTGACAAGGCCTGTTTTAGGTCACAGTGTGTTGGTGTGATGGGACATAAGCATGTGCATTGACCTTTGTGACTAAAAACAGCACCCATCCCACTTTTGCCACTAATGACTCTGACCATGTCGCTTCAAGTTAAGATACACAGACATCTTTTTCCATTCAAGGGAAAAAAAGAGTAAGTTTTGCCAAGCTCTACAAGAAGACAAGGTAGCACTGCAATATTATTATAAGGTAAAAAAAAAAAAAAACAGGGATGAATCAAGGTGAAATAAGTACAGTTAAGTGTGGTTTATCCAGTTCTAACCTCTGTGGTTTAGAGTTCACTCACTCTTACCAAATGGCCTGGAGTAGCAAACACAGGTGAATCTATACTGCTCTGCTATCTCTTAAAACAGCATTGCACTTCCTTTCCTAGTGCAAATGGAAGCAGACAAAGTTACACTGATTTAACCAGCACAGTATCAAGCTTTTTAAAGTTGCTGTATCTCAGCATTGGCAGGAATATAGTTATTACCCCTCAGGTCTATTTATGATTAGTGAAGACACCAGTGGAGTGCAACTCATAACACAGCACCACAGGCTGCTGCTTACACCACCACAAAAGCAACCTTCTACAAGCAATATCATTCTTCAAAATTGACGATTCTATTCCAGCTGCAGAGAAGTCCCAATGCCCTGATACGAAAAATTATCCCTGCATACAACACTCTGAAGTGTTTTTTTGAAAGGAGCACACAAATCTCAGGAAGAGGGAACCGCAAGTTATGGAGCCTGTGGCTCATCTCCCAGATGAACCAAGGGGGACTGAAGAGTCAGAATTTGAGTAAAAATGTCCTGCCACCTCAATTTGATTCTGCCTTAAAAGGACAGGAAAAATGAGAGCCACTGAGAAGCCAGGAGTTCCCTGGTGAGCAAAGGAGAGGAGAAACTTCTTAAACTGAAGCAGCGTTTGACTCTGAAAGGAGAAATCCTCATGTACCATCAACTGGGGAGCAATACTGCATAAAAAAGGGTTGGTAAATCAGCTGGAGAGAAGTTAAACCTTTAACCACTTAAAATGTTTTCCCTTCCTCCCATCTTTCTGTTTTTCCCTAACGGGTGTCAAAGTCGTTTGCAATGATTGCTACGGAGTAACACCGAAACACATGGGATGTGCTCCACATCTCCCAAGCCAAATGAGCCATGTAGTGCTGTAACATGGGAATATGAGTTCTGGCAATGCCTTCAAGCCTCCACTAATGCCTGGAGTCACATAGTCCAGCTCCCCTGGCTGCATGAAGTGCCTTGAACTTCACTGCTGATGAGAGAGGAGCGTGCATACACCTGGAGAGAAGCTAACTCAAAGCTCAGGGAAAAAATAACCCTGTCCTGATATTATGGGGTGCATCCCAAAAGAAAATTACCCCTACAATTCTGTAATTATGAATAATAGCTTATGCAGCAATAAAGTATCAGAGAAAAGTCTTAAGGATAACAGAGACGTCTATTCCATGAGCCATACAACTTTCTCATGACATAGAATATGGAACTAGGAATTTCGAGAGTGCACTGGACACTACAACAGAGAATGGTTCTCCACATCTTGAAGCAGCTGACAACCATGGAGGTGAACCAGCCATGAAGAAAAACCTGCCTTGCTTAAAAAATTTAAAATTGATGACAGAGTCAACAGATTTTCATCTTGTTTACTACCATGCAATAAATGAAATGCCCAATCCAAGCACCAGGAGGCTAAATGCCAGGCAGCTGCCCACATCTGTGCTTCCTGTGGAGTAAACTAAGAGAATGCCTGCTGGATGTCTTTAAGCTTGTGCAGAGGAATTCACTACAATTAGTATGTGTGGCCGTGTTTGTTGTTTAGCAACACTTTTTGGTATTGTCAGGTCAGGTCACTGTCAGGCTCTCAAAGCAAAAACAAACAAAACGGTTTTTGCTTTGCAGCTCACTGCTGGTAATTATGAAGGAAAACTACTTTTCACCAGGTGCAAAAAAGGCTGACCTTGCAGCATGGGGAACAGAACTACAAATGGGTTGAGGCAGACCCTCTGTTTGTGCACCTCCAGAGCATGTCTGACACGCAGGTGCGTGTGGGAGGAAGCAGACTGAAACCCACTGTTGAAACACACTAATCAAAGTAACCCAAACTGAGAAATGCAAGACCCCCTTCAGACTCCAAAGTCCCCCTCTTGCTTACAGATCAAAGTTAACCTCACAAAATCACTCTTTCTTTCTTAGGGAATCTTAGGGTACTAGACTAGGCTGGGGGAAAATGAAAAGCAACTGTTAATGGGAAACTAAATTTTTACATTTCCTCACATTGTTTGGTATTAGTCGCAAAGGTATTGCTAAACTGACGGCACTGTCCTTATCTAAAATTTGTGCTAACACTTTTTCACTGTGTAGCCCAGTTCTGAGGCATTTGGAGCATTTACTGAGCCTGATGAACACTGGAATATGCACAGCACTAAGAGTTGCTGCAGCTGTGGCCTTTGTTAAAGGACTTGATGCCAGCGAGCACTGACCAGACCTGCCCCAGTTATGTGTGGAAAAACTAACATTTTGTAGTTGTTCAGGATCTCTTTGCTCTGGGCACAAATGCTGCCTCCTTACAGATGAGTACACATTTTTTAGGGAACCACAAAGGTTGTTGCCAGAGATCACTGAACCATCCACTGCAGTGGGGCTCAGCTTTAGCTCTGCAGCCTGTGTCTGCACTGGGCTGCTGCAGCCCACACCAACTACAGCTCTGTACACTCCATGTCCTGCCCTTGGGCCAAGCGTTCCTACAGAACCATGGAGACTCCAAGCAGTTTTCCACAAGCACACATCCATGTGACTGCTGGAGCTAGGATTTTAGCTACAAGCCTATGACTCCACAGCAGGTTCCCTTTACAGGTGGCAGTAGACATGGGCTCCCACAGAAGAATAACCTCCAGAAACTTACCACAATGAGTGCAACAACAGACAGGGTGTAGTAGATTGAATCCCTCAGGAGGCTCCACGACGACAGTGCAACAACCTGGGAAAACAGGCAAAGAGAGGATGTCAGTCAGCCAGGCTCTCGCCAGCACCACTGCCACGACAGCAGCGTGTGCCACAGTCCAGCTGACCCTCGGTGTGAGCTGCACTCCAGGGGAGACCCATGACAGGCAACGCCTTCTGGGGCTGCTGGAACTGCTGTGAGGGACACGGGCATGGCCAGATCTGAAGCTCCTGCAGACTCAGCTATCTCCCAGGTCAGGCTGTGTGCTCCCAGGGCACTCAGCCCCCAAGGAATCCTACCAGGGCTGCTGCCAGGGCAGCAGAAGGGGCTCAGCTTTACCAGCACAAACACACGGATTGGTATCACTACAGCTCTGGGTGCACCTCCACAGGTTGGGGGACAAACACTCACGTTAACACTCCAGCAAAGTGTTACAAACAAAAACGAGTAATTTCTATGCAGTGGAGAATAAAATGGCATTGCTATGCAGTTCATGTCACTTGATGCCTTCGAAAGCCAAGGAAAATGAGAAGGAATTGTCATTGCAGGCTGAACAAGCTCACAATTCAGAACTTAGAAGAAAAAATACTAGTGAGTAAGTTAGTCTTTAACTTCATAAATAGTATTCAAAAGGGCAGATTAAAGCAGTTATGTGGTGGTAACACCTTCAGGATGAGTCTATCTTTTGAATCTAGGAAGTCCCCTCACGTAGAAGCTTCTCCTCAAATCTGTATTTCCTATTTCTGGAGTGCATTTCAAACGCTGTGGGTCACATCCTCCACAGGTGTAAAGCTGAAGGAGGCAGATGGGAGATGCTTCATTTACACTGATTTGGATCTGAACATATAAATGAATTTTCTGACCATATCCTCCAGTCATGCTTGTGCATGAATTCAAATGAACAGTAATTTCATTTTCATTTCTATGATAGCTGAAGAAAGGTTCTATTTCAGAGTGTTAGCAAAACCAGTTTCCCAAATTTCTCTTTGTATTAACTCTTATAATATTGGAATTTTCCAGAAGTGCTAGCAAAACAAATGCTGTAAGAAGATATTGACCATTATACTTCAAAAATCTCTGCAGCTTCTTAATACTATGGCATTTTTATGTGGATGTAATTTCTGCCCAGTATAAAGTCTCTTTATGCAACCCTGGACATGTTAGAAACTCCAACCTGAAATAAAAAAGCAGGCCTTTAAAGCCCTTGAGTCAGATGAGATTCATACCAGCTGACAATACATTTCAAGGGACACAGAGATAGATGAATGGAGACGCCTTCTGATGAAAATTTCCAAATGTAGAAACATGGAGATGGGTTCATAATTCCACTCAGAGATCCTTAATTAAATCTCACATTTATGGGCAGTGTGCCCCTTCATTCTGACTGAGCAATTTTTGTGGGAGAGTTTATAAAATACTTTGACATTATTCTGCTCAGCTTTCAGGATGCTGCTTAAGGTCCTCTGCACTTTGCTCAGCGTGGGTGCTGGTGGGGATTTTACAGCTGTGAACTTCAGCTCTGCATACGGAAGTCACCTTCCAAAACACAGGAACAGGGGTGTCACTGTGCAGCACAGCACACCTGTCACAGCAAGGCAGTATCTCTCCTATTCTTTGGTATTCCACAATAATCTTGAAGGCAGCCTGCAATATTTTTCCAAGGAATTTTCCTCAGACACCCGAATGAGCTCATTAAGATCCAGGTGCTGAAATACAGTTCTCAAGCAGGGATCTGATGCACAAAGCTGATAGACCAGGGTACTGTGGGAATCATAAGGACTCTTGTGCTGATTTCAGGTCAGACTGAAGGGAACACGCTCACGCCTGGCACCTGCACAAGCTGCTACAGTCCACAGACACCCGAGTAGGCCTCCCCGATGCACTAACTGCGGGGCAATTAAACCTAAGACGTCCTCAGGGCTCGAGCCGCTTAGCTGAAGTTTTCAAACTATTTGATCCACGTGGAATAGGGAAGCCATGCACATAAGGTAACCCTGCACTGAGGGGAAAAGGAGCTCATTAGCACTGAGGGCAATGGCAGCTCTCAGGATCGTGGTAAGAATCCTGTCTCAAGGTAGAACTGGCAAGGCCCTGAAGGTCCAAGTTGTGCTGTACACTCTTGCAGCCACCAGAGACTCCACACAAATTTTAACACACTGGAAACCATTTAAATTACAGATTAGCAAGGCAGAAATCAGGGAAGCAACCAGCTGGGGTAAAAACAGGATAAAATTTCAGTTCTAAATCAGCAATACTGTAATACTGTAACCCAGCATCGAGCTAGTCCTGTGGGAGCTGAGCATAAGGAGGCAGCTGTAAAACCACTGATTGTCAGTCAGGTGATGTCTCCTCTGTTTGAAGGAAGTACCTGGAATTCAAACCCCAGACAAGTACCCATCAGCTGTCTCTTGACCACTCAGTGGGGACTGAATCCAACACCCTGAGCTGAAAAGAAGAGTTCTGAAGTCCAGGCTTAAATGAGAGCATCCCCCCAACGAGTCCACGAGACTGACAGTGCCTGCTCCCCTGCACACTACAGCATCACTCCTGGGCTTAAAATGACCCATGCCAGACACGAGGTTTCTCACTGGTAAACTTTCACCTTGCAGCCTCTTACATGCAGCATTTACTACTCAGAATGCTTATTTCCCTTTTTAAATAGCTGGAGAGTAGAAAAATCAGTATTTTATTAGTTCTAGCTTGACTTCTGCCGTTTGCAACTCCTGAAGCTGCAACCCCACACAGCACACACGATCTCCTCCATCTAGCACACACAGCCACCAGAGAAAAAATCCCCAAAAATCAGACACTGGCACCTGCTGCCCTTAGCACTGAAGTGCAAAACACTCAGTAGCAATATACACCACGCCCCATTCTATACTTTTAGCCCATCCTAGGGCTTCACCATTTATCCTCTGTAATACTGACTCCTCTCTCCTCCTGCTCTTCCAAATTATTTCTCTCACTTCAGCAGCATGGCAGCTCTTCTCCCATCCAGGAGATACACCTCACAGAGGCCATCCAGCTGGCTGCTTTCCAGCCTGCTCTGCCCACAGCGGCAATGGGCCCCAGACAAAACACATGTCACACAACAGGGCTGCTGCTCCCAGAGCCAGGATGCTTGTGCTCCTGCTGCAGGGTCCAGAGGGGTATGCACTCCTGGGTATTCTCTCTGCTCAACTCAGAGGAGAAGCATGTTGAACATTACCTAATCACCTCCATCTTCTTTAGGGATCTTTTTCGCTCTGAATTGTTTCAGGGGTTTTCCTCCTCTCACGGCCCATTCTCTTTGCTTTACTTTCTCAGGCTCTGATCAGCTACAAACACTGCTGGGAAATGCTAGGCTTTGGAAGCAATCTCCCTAATCTTGTTTCTCTGTTACCCTCTGGCACAGAAGGTCTAGATTTTTAGGTATTAAGAGCTAATAACTTAATTGGTTAATGCGGAGAGGCAGGAATGCCTGGACGAGGGTGTCAAAAGATTAAAGGCAATCCCTGCTTTAAGAGTCTATGGAGGTCAACAGAGATGTGCCAGCAGTGAATCCACCACTTGTCCAAAGCCATCCAGAAGCAGAAAATCCGGGTCACACTTCATGCTCCTCTGTGACATGGACTGCACAGATTCAGGGGATTCAGGAAGCTCTTCCCCACCCTAGCAGAGGCTTTGGAATGCTTGTCTGTGCTGACTGACAAAACTGCTCGCTGCGACCCCTTGCAAGCCCCTGAGCCACAAGCAGCAGCTGCCAGGGGCTGTGTCAGCCCCTTCCATCAGCTGCAGCGAGACACGCAGTGGGAACCTCCTCGCACGCTGCCCTGGTTTGCAGGAGCTACCCCTGAGCTGAGGGGCAGCTCTTACAGCCTGCTGGGGGCCCCTCCAGAAGGGGCTGCGCTCCTGACACAACTTCAAACCAACCCCATGATAACACAACAGGATCTCATGCCAGAGCAAGATAAATGACTAACTGCTGGCCACTGGTACAGCAAGCAGGGAACTCGGGTGGAGGTCAGGGTCAGATTTTCAGGGAATCGGACTGGCCGTAGTTTGGAGTTAATACACGTCTTATGCTTTTGGAATTCTACAAAAATAAAATGGGCTCTACCTCACGTACCAGCTCTCATCCCTGAGGAGGACAGGAACATAAAAACCATCAGCACTATACTTCCTTGTGGTTTGCAGAGTTCAGTCCAGCAAAGCCCTGGTTTCATCTCACAGCAACCAAACCCAAGCACTGCTGTAACCTACTGAAGAATTACGGAATTGTTTAGGTAGCAAAAGCCCTCTGAGATCAAGTCCCAACCATCGCCCCAGCACTGCCAAGGTCACCACTAACCCATGTCCCCAGGTGCCACATCTACAGAGAGACAGGTCACAGCAGAGCCCATCAGCTGAAGTACCTGAGCCACAGCTGAAGAGAACCAGGATAGGAGAAGCTTCAGGACACACACACACATTGTGCTGCTCTCCCAGCCAGGCGCAACACATGCACAGCTCTTGGATGCCGCAGTGGTACTGTGTGGATCCTACTCCCTCTTCTGTCCAAACACAACCCCGGGAACAACCCAACCAGGATTTGCTTAAAGAGAGCCTGCTGGGCTCACACTGCCCACCATTTCTCCAGAGGGGTCAGAGTTTCAAGAGGTTCTTACCTACAGTCCTCTGTGAAATCTTCACCTATTGATAGCATTATTGTTGGCATTAACTGCGTTGGTAATAACCGTGATGTTAGTTGAGGTTTAATTTTACTTGCTCTGCATGAATATAAGTGGCAGATGTCCTAGCAAGAAACATCATTATAGACTCTTAATGACCTTATCCAAATCCAACCAATCATCCTGAAGTCACAGCTGCTCAGCCAAGCCAAGTAGAAAATTAAAATATCCTCCATGAGACGACCAAGACACTTTCTCCACCAGCTATCTGAGAGAGAGGGAAATTACTTGAGTAGACAGAGCAAAACCTGCCTACAAGGATGGACCCTAGTTTGCCAGACATTGCCATTAAAGATAGAGCTGTACTTTATTTGCAAAATCAAAGGT